CCCGGTTCTGGAAGTGGGTTTTGGTGGATCTTCAGGATGGATCAGACTGGGTTTGACAATGCCCTGGCCCATCCTGAGGATCCACTTCCAGAACCAGGAGCGGTTTTGAACAATCCACAGGATCCACCAAAACCCATTTCCAGAATTTTTGAAGCGATAATGACGACAACAGATTGGACATGGTTCTGCTGACAGTCGGTTTATTGAACAGAATTGAGCAAAATTGAAATTATGCATACATATCTGTTTAATATGTTGAAACATAAACAAATTCATATTATTTGTTAAATATTACCGTAAACTTGTGTTACTTGTCGTGTGGCGCTGTTCGTTTGACAGCTATTGGTTGATGCTACCGGGGTGAAATTCCATGAATCTATTCGAAACAAGATAATTATTTATCCAGTTGGTTTTTTGAGAGAGAAAATTCCCCGATTCGCAATTCTGAAAAAAGTTATTATCCAAAAATTTATGCATTTTCTACTCTAACTCTCTTTTTTTCACCGGTTTGGTATCAGATACTTACATTTTATGTGGATCTTAACTTTTTTCCCATGTGGAATTCTTTAATTCATTTTTCCGTCATTTCTTCAAACAAACTCGGACACACTCGATATAAAAAGCATGTTTTCTTCCAAAATGTTATATCAGAATTGTTAGTTTGATCATTTATTGTATATTTTATATATAATAAGTACAATATATCTTTTTTTGTTGATTTTTGATTACATATTTGATTCCTCCATGAATGTTATAAACTCATTGTAATGTATGTCGTTGAGCAAATCTTTGGAATGGATTTATTTAATTTGAATGTGTCATCGAAATGGGTATTTTGAAATTGATCAATGAATTTACTATTTATCGTCAATAATAAAAATTGAAGTACTCGAAAAAATAATGTTTAAATTACTTTGGTTGTTTTTCACAATTACTTTTTTCTTTGGTTTAGATTTCGCCTTGTTGGTTTTTTCTTTGGTTTAGATTTCGCCTTGTTGGTTTTTTCTTTGCGTTGAATGTATAAATGATTCTCTGTATGAGACTTCAGTCAAAATTTACTGAAAATCACATGTTTGAAATAACAGCTTACAATTCAATATCATTTTGGTTCTAATTTTAAATTTTTATTTATTTTGACGTGTCAATTGGTAAACCAAAACTAGTACAATCGAATTCAATATGGAGATCACATCGTTTTTGCTGTCATAAATACTTTGTGTTCTTGAAAATCGCATGGATTATTGAAACCAGCCAAATTCAATAATTCTTACGACACTCAATTGCTGTTTTCCATTCTGGGTTGCTTTCAGTGAGAGGTAAAAAAAAATTATATCTTCCTGAATAAATTGAACCATAATTGCATTCCAGTGAGCTCACGGTGGTGGCCGTGACGGCATTGTTGTGTATATCCGAAAAGAGGTGTTTTTATCGGGGTTTCATAGTTTTTTTCTTCATTTTTTTCTTCTTCTTCTTCTTTTCTTTGTATCCTTAAATTAAGCTTCAACTTTGGTCGTATTCATTTTTAGACAAAATACATTATTTCCTTCACAAGACAAAAAAAAAAATTAATAATAGTAATTCTTTCGAAAGTCTGGAATTTGTTCAACGCTGATGATGAATTGATGGAAACAACATAAATAACATTGGGCAAATTGGATGCATTGTTTGCAACGCAATTCCAAATCGAAGGAAAGTAATTGAAATTAAAAATCATATGCACTAATTTCCTCACATATTCGTTTAAAAAGTGAATTTACATCAGTTTTGTTCAATTTCGTTGCCATTGCTGTATGCCGCTTGGAATTGATCGGCATTCGCATCGATTGCGTCGATCGGTTGTTCGTCTTCATTCACCAGATTTCGATCACCCTGGGTGTCTGTGTTCGAACTGTGCACCGGCTTTTGGTCATGTGCAAGTTTTTCCAACAGAATCTCGATTGGAATTGCATTATGACGATTAGCGGTGCTGCTTCCGTCCCGTTTGCCGGCAAATCGAATGTTTGCATTTGTGTTTCGTCCAAGTCGCAAAAAATTTCGCCAGTTTATCGCTCTGAGGGCCTCCGCTTTGGACGGTGATGGTGCAAAGTTTTGGCTTCGACCAAATCGAATGAAGCCACTGTCTCCGCCACTACGTGGTTCAACCTGAATGCTCTCGTCGGGCGAATAGTAATCCTCCACACCACTTCGAGCGAATCGAATGAAATTTTCGGGGTAACGACTGTTGGCCCGATTATCATCACCCTGATCACTACCGCTACGGCCAAAACGAACGAATGGCTGCGATCGGCCGAAACGTATCTGAGATGATGGAGATCGCGAGAATCGAATCATCGAACTCGGCGTACGAGCAAATCGAATGATGTAGCGGGAACTTTTACCAGGTACCGCTGATTCGCTCAATTTCGATGACAACGATGATGATACTGATGATGACAATGAACCCAAATTGCTCAACTGATTCTCATTTGCGGGCAACTGTTCTTGCGTTTCAATCACTGCAAACGCTCCACCCAATACCACACTCAACAGCATCAGCTCAGCTAAAGTGATATTCTTATAGCCCATTTTTACGTTCGTTGGAGTTTCTCAAATTCAATCTACGGATGGGAGTGAAAATCAATAGTAGAAAAACATTAACAACGAATTTCAATGCACGCAAACGATAAAAAAAAAATAAAAGAGAAAAATAAACACACTAAATAAATTTCTAAATTTAGATTCGAGAAACACGTTGCCAATCAATTTAATAAGCCTACAAATCCTCCAGCATCGAAAATGTTTGTGAACAGTTTGTTTTAGTATCCCGCAAGCCAAAAAAAAGAAATGCACATACGCACACCATACATACATATCCATTGTGACACAATTGATGATGATGGATGGCGCACGCAGAGAGAACGGTCGGTGGGTTGGAGAGCAAACGAAAATTGGGTGCTTTTTAATTGGTCGGTAATATCCTTCAAAGTTCACAAAGTAAACATCCTGTAATCTTCGACTTTCAGCAATTTTCCAGCAGTGTACCATCATCAGTCATTTTGGCCTAAAGCATTGGCAATGTATTTGTACAACAAGCCGTCGAGCGCATGGCCAAAATTTCTAAACACAAGAATGGCTATTTCTACATTTGGTGTTTAACTTCGAATTTAATTGATACTATGAAACATTGTGCGCGAAGTTCAAAGGACACTTTCAAAATTGTTTCAATTGTTTCAACATGAACGGAAACGGCAAACTTTAAATACCACAAAACAAGTAGCGACGAATTGACAAAGAAATTGTAATTACTTGACATTAGACTGTTTCATGGTACAGTATGCTTTCCTTTAGGCGCTTACGGTCCAATTATTATTTTACTAAGCACGTGTGTTACTCATCTATGCATGGTACAGGCTAGATTTACCCATCGCTTCGAATCGAAAATGACATTTGGGATCGAGAGAAAAAAACAAGAAAAAAAGAACAGAAGTCGAAAAAGAGAGAACGTGCTACTTGAACAAGTAAACAAGACTGTGCCCACCCAGTGACCAAATTACGCAGCATAGAACGTTCGATTCAAGTTTTTAACTTTCGCTTTCCAGATTCTTAAACATTGACTTGTCATCTAATTGCAACGACAAAAAGAAAGTCTCAACTGATTAGCAATAGTGAAAAGCTGCTTAAATGACGTACGTATTATTTCCCTGCAGGTGAACGACGTAAATGTTAAACACATCCTGAAACATTGTATTTTCCTCAGAAGACAATTTTGAAAGAAATGTACTAATTGTATTTTCCATATTTTCATAATAATTCTTCATAACATGCAATTTGGCTTAGAAAGCAGCGGAATGGGACTATATAATGTGTATGTTCCAGAAGAAAAAAAAGGTCACAAAATCGACAGGATTCATACACAATACTGAGGAAAATGTACACAAAGGCATACACTTGAATCGATTCAAAAAGCGATAAGGCTGAAGACTTTCTCAGCCGTGAATAATGCATCCATCTCTTTTTTTTATTGTGAGTCTCTGTGATGTCAAAGTCACAACTTATTGCTTCAAACTACATATGCCTTTCTTTGGTGTGACGATATGCGTGCGATGTAATGAATGGAGCAGCAGTGGAAAAAATGTTCGCAAACGCGCAACAAGTTGAATGGAAGTGGTTCTTTTACATTTGCTGGCGATTTTTCTTATCGCTCTCTCTCTCTCTCTCTCTTCGCCAACCTTAAAACTAATAACGCATCATAATAAACCAACAAAATGGACAATGGATCATTTGTAATGCTGTTTGCTTTCTTCTGAAATCGTCGTTGGTTGTCTTCGTCGTCGTCTCCAATGCCTAAGCGACTCTCTTGGATAAGCAAATGAAACCGTAATCTATGAAAAAATAGAATTCTTTTTTAGCGTGCGATGGACTATGAACTGATTTTGTATCCATTTAAACCATTTTTCCAATGAAGCTGTCCAAATCTTTCTGCATGAAATTTTGGTTTTGATAAATTCAGTGAAAGTAAAAATAATAAAAATTAAAGATCAAATATTCAATTATGCAACATGTGGATTTACATTGGGAATGCAATTTCATATCGAAATTGTAGATTGGTTCTCCAATGTGACGATTTTAGTAGAAAATGAATCAGTTGTTACTTCATAGTGGATTCAGAAGAATGGTCATCTCAGTTTCTCCCACTTGTAATTATGCCGAGGAACCGCTCGTTTGGTTCAAAAGTTTTGGATTATTCATTCTAATCGAATTAATTAAAACAAATTCAGACGATTTCAGCGCCTACATGTTCATAGATAAATCTTGATTTTGACACACATTTATACATATATACTATCCAAAGGAATACGAATGACAACGGGTGAGATTTTGTGATTTTCATTACATTATCCAGCAGCGTCCTTCAAGCCACTATTGTATGAATGTCATTTTCTTTGGAAAGAATTTTCGCTTCTCTCTCTCTAACTTTCTCTATTCCGGTTAAAAAATTGAAAATAGTTTTTGACGCGGGTCAAAGCTCATAAATCCAAAACAATGCAGCGCTCTAGCCACAAACTAATGAGCAAGCATAAAAAACTTTCAAATGCTGTCATAATATGTGAATGAAAGTCATACACAGCCTTGCTGTTGTATTGGAAGCAACATACTTGTGGGTCGGTCAATTCATTCATCACGATGTTTGTGCATGAAGTAAAAATATGCTTGGAATGAACTTGATTCAACTTCAAATGGTAGCCACTTTCTCCCTGGGAGAATTCTTCGAAACGGAACCATGCTGTTCTTCATGATTTACCTGTTATGATGTTTCGCTTGCAATATTTATATACAAAGACTACAATTTTTATCATTTCTTTTTGTTTTGTTTTTTTTTTCATTTTTATTTCTTGTGTTCATGTGTCTTGCTAAAAACAGGAGCATATACACGCAGTTTTTGATTAAACAGTTTAACGGAAACAATAATGTATGTTTGTGTTTGCATCGGATGATTGCATGTCGTGAACTGAAGTTGAATTTCACAGTCACACGAAATTCCAGAATAAAGGCGAGTGAGTGAGTGAGATAACTTTTCATTTCGATCCCTTTGGCTCAATTTTCTTTTAGAACTCTCTTTTCATATTGTTCTGTGCAGTTTTATTCTTTCAATTTTCAAATATAACCACGAACAATTGTTTGTGTTTCGGACATATTTCATATATGTGTGTATTGTGCTGTGTGTTGAATTTAAATGAAATAACAAGTGAAATTCGATTGTGTTTTCTAAATACGAACGTGGAAATAATGAGAGACCCGCGCGCAACGTACAACGGTAAATGCTTTGTTAAAACATTTATTTTTTTCCCACGCATTGCTTGTGACTTCGTGCGTTGCACGTCAGCCACTTTGATTGGAATAAAATCCGTTCCTAAGACGTCGCCCCGCTGCTTGCATTTTCAAATCAAAGGGATTAAAGTCACACAATTATATCGAATTCAATGAGCATGCAATGAACTTTTTGAGATCATTTTTTATCTGATGAAAATTTTGAACATAAATCAAAATTCACGGTTTAGGTGGGTTTTTGCGTCATGCCCGACCGCGACAAACTTGAAGGGTTTTTTTTAAATATTGTTACGGGGATGGATTATCGTAGCGAACCGCGTCGAGCACGTGCCAAATTCCAAAGTCTATGATTTCAAAATGGAATGCACACATGAACCAGTCTTGATTTAATTATTCAAAACTCGATGCTTTCCCACACTTAACACATCACTTTGAATGATTTTCCGAAAACAGCGCTTCTAGCAATTCTCTCAGTCGAAATGGATGTGAGTGTGCTGTTATTGTGAGCAGCGAAGCAACCCAAAATATTTACCCATCTTTAACGTTCACACATTCCGAATGTAAACAAAACGGCTTCCATATTCAAAAGGAATTCATCAATTTGGAATCAAAGTTATCCTAAACATATTTACATATTTATTATAATCGAGGAATTGTCTGTATTGTTTGGCGAAGATAATTCAATTAATATGAGCGTTTAACTCATTTCCAAGCCACATGTCAATGGATGAATTCGAAGATAAAGCAAGAATCGTGTGTGCATGTGGCGAAGACTGAATTTTTGAATAAGAACATTGCTTCCTTTCTCCAGTCTCTTTTGAGCATGAATGAAATGATGGGGACAACGTGGTAATTGTCGTAAAATATGGAATTACGACGATTAATGATAATCTCGGGTTGTGGCAACAAATTGATAATAACGTGGAAATTATCGCTTCTGGCTATTAAACGTCTCTATTATCCATATCAATGCATTTATGAAGATTTGACAGCATGATTCAGAAATAAACAGGTGAAAATACGATTTTTCACACCTACAGGAATTAAAATAGAATCCAAATTGAAAAAAAAAATCGAATTAAAAATATAATCTGATGTTAATGTTGCTGTTTTTGGCAAACTTTGGCACGAGGATTCCGGTGACCTTGTTCGCTTTCTTAGAAGCATTAGCGGAAAATCGTTTCGTCATTAACACTGTGAACTGTGGCTGACATGCTTCCGTACAAAAAGGTACATCCTGTAATTACCATAATTTAAACGAATAAACGGGGAAATGAATATAGGCCGAATTGTTGTGTGGCATTTCGAACAAGCGGACGCTATTCTTCTTCATCATGAAAATTGTAAGGGGGCGAAAAAGTGCAAGTTCAGTCTTCTATTATGTCTATTTAACACCTTCAAAAAAATAATAGCACAATATAAAAAGAGTTTTGAGCAACATGAGAGAGGGTGAACATGGTTCGTTTGTGTGCTTAGTTTTGGTAGTAATGAATAATTTTATGGGGCATCCCAAAAATCCTATTCCCCATTAATCAAGACCAAGACTCCGATTGAAATGAAAAAATTTGAATTCCGGAACACATAATACTAATATACTCGCACAATTTTGTCCATATGAATAAGCAAACATTTGAGTTGAAGTTTTTATCAAGTAAACAGGAGCGATGAAAACTGCCAAATGAATGTGTTTACGGCTGTTTGGCTGGAGCGAATTCGAGACGAAGCTCACCTACACCACAACACACACAATACATATTCAGGAGACTGTTCGTATTCAAGCGTCGCGTTAATAACATTTTATCATTAGGTATAACATATTTGATTAATAAATAAGCAAGTAATAGAGATGCATGTGCTGAATATTTCGTATCTTTCTGGATTATCGCTCGATGGCCAAGCCGTAGCCACGTCATGGATTACACATCAATGGGACAGAAATAGTGGCATTCTATCGGTGCTGTTGCAATGTACCACCATCTGGGCTCACTGTTCTCCTTTGACTCGAAACCATAACCAATTACATTTCACACATTAACGATCATTATTTTCAATTTATGGATGGGCCAATGTCTTTTTCAAAGAGTCCAATATTCCATGTATCGCATTCACACTTTCAAATTGCGATTTTCGGCTATGTTTGTTATGTGAGTCGTGAGCCGCATGAAAAATTACACCACATTTTCGATTGTAGCGAAATTTATTTATTTATACAAACAATTGTTGTTATTATTCGCTTGACCGCCACCGTGCGCCATCCAATTCGACGGTCATGGAACATATTTATATTCGAAAGCAAAGTTCAAATCGTAAAAGTGTCGCCCTGGCTGTATGCGTATGTATTCATGCATACAATTCAAAGAATTTCAACCCAGAATAGTTTTGCGACGGATTCGAATGTACAATGTAGTATACTTGGGCATGTACCAATGATGCGATCAAATGGCATTCAAAAACATAATTTTGGAATGGAATCCAGCGTTGAGAACTATCTTGCCTCTCTCTCTTTCTCTCTCTCTCTCTCTTTCACTCTGTTAGTTAACTGTTTTAACCCTCTAATGCATTAATTTTTCCCAGGGCTAGGAGTAGTGGTACTTGGTTGATTTTTGGCCATAGATATTCAAAAAAATATTCATAATTCTGGATTCCTCATGGTTTAGTCAGGAAAGGCGATTGACATAAATCAGAGAACAGTCAAATCCATTGTTTAAAAGTGTCAAAAATGTGTCTAATTTCGATTTCGAATAATTTGTTTTGTCAAATTTTTTGTTTTTGACAAATAAAAATTTCTTTTGAAGCAATGTGATCCGATGTACGGTTAACGTTCTACAGGCGTTCAAATGTTGCCCGTCTAGAGGCGGTTGTATGCATTAGAGAGTTAAAATTTAATAATTTAATTTTGACACTATACTTTCAACATTTTCAAATGTCCCTCGAAACAAAGTCACACAGTGTTCGCTCAAAAGATTTATTATACAATATTTGCGTGCGATAAGAATTTGAACGAAGTTAATTACATTTAAAAACTTTTTGAATCCAGTAATTTATAGCCGGCAATTGTATTTTAATCAGTGGGCGACATTTGAAAAAGCAAATATTCCACTATCTTATACACTTTCGAGAAGGAAAAAAAAGATCTATGAGGACAAAAGTTGTCGCTTCAAACTTATGTGACGATTCCACTCAATCAAAAAGCAATTTGCGTTAAATTCTCTGTAGCAATTTAATTATAGGATATTTAATGGAGTTATCACTTCAAGTCGTTGGGCTACAATAGCGAATTTTTATTTATTTATTTAAATATTTACATTCAGCGATGATTGAAGCAATGGAAAAAATCGAAAAATAACTTTGATTTTGACGTTTTGTAAATAGATATCTAATCTTGAACAAATGAAATTAAAGACATTCAAAACAGATTTGATTTTACTCACCTGGAAAATATAAAATTGATTCACCGAAAAAATATCTGCTTTTCGAAATTTAAATAAAATAAAAAAGTTGCACAAAACAATCACCTTCTCTGTGTGTCAACTGTTATGTTCTTCTCTTTTTTTCGATTGAATAAACCAAGAAGCCGTTGTTTATCCAGAGAAACGGTTAACCAAAATGCAACAAAGAGAACTGAAAAAAGCGAATACACAACACTGTTCAAATATTGATTCCCATGAAAATGAACAGGGCGATACTTGGCGTAACACAATTGTATTTAAAAAATATCGATCACTTTTCGTTCGTTATACGTGTGCGTTTGATGTTTTTTAAATTTGTTTTTCGGTTTTGATTGTGTGTTAAAAAACGAACTTTTAAGATTGAATTGAATGTTGCTTCTGACCGAATATAAAAAGGATGCTCCGGTATTTATACGCAAGATGCGATAAGTGGATGAGTGAGTGAGTGAGTGAGTGAGAGAGAGATTCGGTGAATCTGACCAGTTGTCTTCGTATTATATCCGTGCTCACCGTGTGTATGCTCCATACAGAGCAGAACAGAGCAAAGCTGAGCAGAGATCCAAGACATGATATTAAACAGTGTTATTTATCCTGATGAAAATCATTCTCCTCTACGCACTTTGTCGCACATCGCACATGGGTAATTCCATAAGATGAGCGCGCGTTAAGCGCGTACATAAAGACTTCATATGTCTTGAGCATATGAATACGAAGAGCATGTTGGCCCCCTTTATGGCACTTACACGGCAACTTTGTGTGTTTGTACCACACTGAGTGAGTACGAGTGCGAGAGGCGGACTGACGACCGATGCGTGGGGTACGACATGTGTATGTATGCATGTTCTCTCTCAATGCTCGGCATATTGTGTTCCTTCTATGCCCTTCTGCGTGGTTTTTCGGTTTGCATTTTCTTGAACAGCATTGTACAATGAATGTCTTCATTTTCTTGGTAGCCAAGCAAAGCTCTGCATCGCCTTAACTTAACTCAAGGCGAATAAAAAAAAATGATGCCATCAACTTGGATATATGTGTCTACATAGATGCATCAGCACCCGTGTTTCGCTAGCACAATGATGAATCCTTATGGATTCATATACGCAAATAGAAAAAAATCATTATCTAATTTATGAGCGCACACCTCGCGGGTGGCCCAATGTAAACTACATTTAAATCATCATTTGCTAAATGGTCAATTATGATTTTTTACCCTTCATTTTTTCCGTTTTGGTTGTGATAAAAATGAGCTCACAAACGCTGTGTGGTTGGCATTATTATTGCGGGCGTTCATATAAGAAGATTCTTTTCTGGATTTGATTTGGCTGAAAAGTTAATGAGGTTTGTGGAAAAAACAAATGGCACACATTTGTCTCAATTTTTAAGTGAAAATATGAATAATACAATACATTTTTCATATGTAATCTACCTGCGTCGATATTAGTTGGACGATTAGTTTGATATAGTGTGTATAATTTTATTTGCGTATATGCAAATTTGATTTCGTCAAATTTTCGCCCCGATTTTTTCGATCACATTTCCTCTTACGTCCAAAAGAATCTTGACGACACAAAATCATATATATGCCCTTAATATAGTCTCAAACGTCACGCGCGTCGGTATCTAGTTTTGCTATTGGACGGTATATTGCACACACACTGCATGAACACATACGCTGGTTGTCGCGTATAACAACGCAACTCACAGTAACACAAAACTATGTAATTAATAATTAGCATTTCATCATTATGTTTTCAGCCATGTTCCATAATATTCTTTCGAACCGTCGTCGTACATCTCCGATTCTGGCGTCAGTCTCGTACTAACGCCATTTTGCCGTTAAAAACCCATAGAGCGAACTTTATTATACATTGAGAAATTATATTTTTTTAGCCAGTGGATTAAATTTCGCGTGAACGATGAATATGATATTTATTTAACCAACGAGACATTGCTAGAACGTATTTGTTTGAGTTAAGAAAGAAGACAAAGACTTTCGTCGCTTCATTTCATTCTCGTTTAAAATGCCAATGTATTTCAATGTAACTTTGCATGCATTTAGATCATGATATAGAATATGCTTGCGGTTGCTCCTAACATTTTTTCAAGCGCTTCTTCGTGTTTAACACGATGAAAAGGGTATACAATTTTATTGGCATTTACCATCATCAGATCAGCAGTACCATGATTTTGTAGCATAAAAATGACACTTTCTCCCGAATGTACGGTTCAGTGGCAGTTTTAATCCACAGTAAAAATGGAACACAATTTATGAAATCAGATGAAAGGTCAAAGACCGTGATTCCATATTTGATCACACCGAATCCAAAACGAATGCTATTTAATTTAACAAAAATCGAAAATAGGATATGCATGCGGAGTAGTATTGATCTACAAAGGTTGTAGTAGAAATGCTTTCACACCTTCAGCGGCTTTACCAACAATCGAACACGTCAGTTGAAACGCCTCCATAAGATGATGATGATACAGAAATTAGTTGAGAATGAGAATTGAGAATGTACGTCACATGCATCGGCATCAAATGATTACGTCAAACAAACACTTTTGTTCGCTTAATTAGAATGCTATCCGCATTTCTTTATTAAATAGTTTGATTGACAGTTTTGACGCTGTACCTTTTTGCATAGAAAAAACTCCACTGGTAAAAAAAAGATTTCATACGAAATTGGGCCGATCTATTGTGTTTTTATTAAATTTTCATTCAAACAAGAAAGTTCACAATTGCTTCAACAAACAAGTTTTAAAATTTGAATATGCAATGATCTTTACTGATTTGCCAGAAATAGCCTTTTGTTTAGTTATTCGACATTGTATTTGGCCAACTCTTTCTTGCATGCGGCAATGCTATTCAACATTTCGTTATTAATTTTGATGAGATTTTCACGTTCACCACGGAAGGTAATGATGTGTTCGTCCTGCATCGATAATTTTCGGGCAAGCAATACTTCACGTCCTTTCATCTTCTCAATTTCACTACTTAGGTTTTCCGATTGTTGTTTTAATTCGTCCACAACCTTGGGATCTGCTCGCAGCTTCGACAACTCTTCAGTTAGTTTGTTGTTTTTATTTCGCAAATCTGCATTCAAATCCTTCAGCTCAAGTAATTCGTCTTCTTTTCTTGCGGTTTCTTCAAGTCGCTTCATCAATTCCGCAATTTTGGCTCGTTGTTCGCGCAATTGTTGATATTTCTCTTTCAAAATGAGTGCCATCTCTTTGTATGCATCTCTGAAGAGCCGTAATTTTTCGTTGTCACTTTTTTCATTATCGGTCAAAGTGCGGGAATCGCTACTTGATGTCGATTTGCTCACATCTGACCGGCTGCGTTGATGTTTTTTGGGTCGAACTGGTTTATCAGTTTGCGATGCGGATGAATCCTTTGATTCTGATGAGCTGGAATCGGATGTCTTTGATGGATCGTCTCTCGATTTTGGTGCAGTTGATAATTGATTCGTCAAATGGGTAATAACTTTGTCTTTGTCATTCAACTGACGTTGCAGCGATTGGAGTTTCTCCATACAATCACTGAGCTCATTGCGAACATTATCATCCATCACCATATTTACGGTGGGACTCGAGGATTCGTTTGGTATGAAATTCATGGCTTCTTCATTGTGCTGAATGATTTCTTTGAGTTCTTCGTTTTCTTTTGTAAGCGTTGCGATGGCACTTGATGCAATATTCTCGCCAGATTCCAAGTTATTTTTTTGGGCTCTCAAATCATTATTTTCAACAAGCAATTTCTGTTTGTCAGCAACTAATGTTTCCACAAAAGCCTCCAAGTGTACCAACGAGCTCATTGCTTCCTCTTCCAAGTTCACTCTTTTGTCGACGCATTTTCGCAGAAAATCAAAATCTTCCGAAAAATTTTCATCTGCAACTGTTACGCTCGATGCGGTGCTCGTGACATCGAGATCGGGTTTTGATAGCTCCTCATTTAAATGCGCAATGACATCGAGGTATTTGGACCCTTTTTCGATGAGACTTTCCGTAAATTTTTTGTATATGTCTAACTTTTCTATATACTTTAAGCATTCTTCTTTGAAACCATCTGATGGATACTTCTGATCGATGCTGGCCAATTCATCTTTGGTTTGCCGCACAAAATCACTAAATACCTGCTGAAGATTCTCGGACATTTTGAACCGACGTTAATTTTCACCTTGAACTGACAATCTCAATATGCAAACAGATTTATCGTTGGATACTTGACTATCACACTTTCTTTCACTTTGCATTCAAATGGCAAATGCAAAAACAAGCAAAGTAGGCTACAATGTACATTGATTTCAGTATTACGCATTTGCAATGCTAAAAGAATCAACGATTATCGAAAGTATGCTTAAAATCAAACACTTGGCATGAATATGTCAATTGATACGCAAAATAAATGGATCATTGAAATCAATTGGTTTATAATATATTTCCGATGTATCAGATTGAAATCGATTGTAATATGGACTGAATTTGATATGGGAACGGCAAGTAGTAAATATGAGCATGTGCTTGAGTAAACAACGAAAAGGAATTCTCTGGGAATTGATATCAAAACAAAAGTATTTCATGTTTGAAATCATTTCTGTGTTATAGTAAATGATAAAAAAGCGGAAATATTGACATTTTTCATGTTGATGTTGAATCAGCACATTTTGAATATAATTCAATATCAAATGAAATACTCGCAGACATATGTGCAAAACTGTTTATAATTTAAACTTGAAAATTGTTTATCGCTTTCCAAAGTGAGAAGAAATAAAATTCCACATTGAAATGAGAAACCGGAATATTACATATTTATAATAATTATTGGTTCAGCTGATTTGTTATATCGTACATACCTGTTCATATTAATGACATATATATATATATCGCTATCTATAGATAGCAATATTTTTGCATTCTATTTCTACAATTATCGCACACATAGATTTTTAACTTCTACGAAATTTTATTGAAAAAATTAAAACAAAGGAAAACATTGGGGAAAAATAAAACAGAATAAAATGAACGCATTACATACACGATTGAAGGTGTTTTAATTGATATTCTCACTCGTTGCCATTAACATTTATGTTAATTTCAAATGATGAAAGTCGGAAGAATGTTCGTTTTTTATTGGAATTCAATTCAAATCATATGTGTTCTTGGAGCCTTATAGTAGTAGTTTGTTTTTTTTTCTTTAATTTAAATATTCCAGCTTTTGATCATTTCGAAAATTTTCTGGATTTCGCTTAACCAGAGCTCTAAATCCAATTGATTCTCGGCCGAAATGAAATACGATTGAATACATCGGTTGCGGTCACGTTTTTCTGGGTCAACGGCATGCACAACGTCGATTTTGAAAGTTCGTGGTCGCGGACAAATTTCTCGATCAACAAGCAATGACTTTGTTCGATAGTTGCATTGGTCAAGATTCAAGGTTAAAATTGGTGATTGCTAAAGAAAAAGATAAGAAATCGTGTTTAATGAAATTTGAGTAGAAATGGGAATAACGAAATGAAATGAATCAAAAACAAAAAAAACGGAAAGAATAATTAAATTTGATCACAATCAATATCGAATGTTGCCCATAACTTACCGTATCATTCACGTCTTGTGGATAATTCCAGAAATTCATGGAGAATCCATCGATGCGACACCACAAACGATCCCACTTTTGCTTTGAATCGGCGATGTTGAGAAAACCATTGGCCTTGGAATCGAGGAAGTAGAGTTGCTCTTGGTATCCAATTTTGAGCGAATCACACAAAGTGTTGCCCTGACCACACAAAACGATGGCTGGTGATATAAGACCATATGAAGTGTACACGTACTTTCCATTTGAATTGCGCTGTAATTTTCGTGGCGAATGATACGACGACGAAACGTGCTTGCGCGACAGATTCGTTGACGTGAGCAACGTTTTTCCTTGCAAACGAAAACGTGAGGAATCACATTTTGGTATGAATGGCTCGGAACTCTGAAAACGAAGTTATAATTGACATTGTTTAGATCCGGAATAAGACAGTTTTTTTCTTGTTTTTTTTTTTAATAGTACCTTTTCAGTTGGCACATTTTTCCTAAGACGCAGTGCGTAGATTTCGACACGGATCTCAAAATCTGCCGTTAAATTATGGAATTGCATTTTCAAGTTATTGAATACGATTCGGTTGTCGGTGCGTTCCCTTGAGTCGGTAAATTCCACTTGGTCGCGATAAGAGCAAACACACAAGTAGAAATAATTGAAATGCGTATCGAATATTGTGTCAACCTTCAATTCGAATTCCATGTATTTGATAGTTAAAACACCTTCGCCCAAATCGTTCACCCTCTCAACCGTTTCGCCATCACTCTGCCACATTTCAATCAGTTTTTCCAAGGCTGAACACTCTTTGAGACTTGACATCAGCATCAATTGTTCGGCTTCTACCAACTCACGTGAATTATGAAATTCACTATTGGTTCGACACACTTCCAGCGCATTTAGAATGGATTTTCGCATCTCCTGCTGCTGACGAATCCGTTCGATCAAACTGTTCATTTTGGCTCCATTTGCCATACTTTCATTTGGCATGGTTTCAAAGCGGCTACAGATCGATTCGAATAATTTCTTTCGTTGCAAATCGGCGCTTGATCCACTTGACGACGTTGATGCACATGATTTCACCTCGCTCATTTCATCCGATCCGATTCCGTCGGTTGCGTAGCTGTCGTTTTTGCTAGCTGATTTTCGATCTAATCGAAACGAATTACGGAATTTGGTTTTAATGGCTTTTAAGCTTGGTGACATTTTCCGCAATGTTTTCGATGGCGACTCAATCTTGCTAAACGTTCGTGATGAGCTGGGCGAAGAACCTAATGAGTTGCAATTAGGCCGATTGAATGATACGAACTGGAAAAAAGGAAAATAAATTGTTTAGAAGTTGAATGCAATGTGATCAAAAGTGTAGAAAATACCTTGGCTGAGCCTTTCGACGAATTGTTATCCGTTAGACAGCTGCGGAATGCAATATTTGTGGCAAAATCATTTGATAAATCGGTTGAATCGCCCATTTCACTTGGCATGTACTCCAAGCTCGTGATTGTATCCTTAATTTCGCTATTCAAGTCATTGCCTCGGCTTAAACTTTCACAATAGCTGCCAGTTCCGACCGTATCAAAAGACAATGTATCCACAAAGTCACTCAAAGTTTTCCTCGGTCGATTGGAAACAATTTGCTGGCTTTTCCGATAGAATGACGAGCAGCCGCTATTCATATCGCTAGTCGCAATTGATTCGGAGCCAGAATTTGATTTGCGATCATGTTTGAGTGCGTCGACTTCATCGTAGCTAGTTTGATCCGGATCGTTCGTTGTTGCCGTTGTAAACATTTCATTCATTTTGAATTGGCATTCATCCAATTCGGATTGAACAACTGTTGCAAAGTCATTTATAAGACTCATGTCAAGCGACTCATAGCTCGAGCTCAATAGAAAACTTTTTTTGTCATCCGTTTCACCATCAACTTGATCTTCACTTTGTTCCGTCCTTGATTCAATCGTCTCCAAACTCCTCGTCTGCATCGAACCACGATTGACAGTGGCATATAAAATTTTAGGGTTATTATTTACCATAATATATTTGTTGGGCTTTGAATTGGCACGATCGTTTATGTACACTTCCTTCAGCTGAACTGCTTCCGATGGACAACTTTTGATTGCATTTACCTCATCCTCTCGGCAACTATGATACATTGTTTCTTGCACCTTTGTGGATCGTGTTGTTTCAATTTCAGCGTACAACGGTTCAGGCTCGTCGTGTAAATCGATTGTGGCAATTTGTTCGACTAATGAATCTTGTTCCAAAAGATCTCCGCTGCTTGTCGAAATGGTTCGATCTCGGCTGAACAGGCACTTTTTGGCGGATGGTGGTCGTTCATGTGTGTCCTCATCGATGTTACTGCTGCTACCCTGACCGTTTTCAATACGTTTCCTCATCTCAGATAGCATTTCACCCATTATCAATACTTTATTGTCAATTTCATCGTAATCGTTTGCTTTGTAATAGTGAGTGGATTCGTCTGTACTCGATCGTCGTTGCTTCTCCTTGTCTCGGCCTTTCATTTGAAACAGTTTCTTTGACGATTTTGCCAGCTTTAAAATCATCTTCGATGGAGATCGTTTGGCAATTTTCTCTTGTTCAGGTGGCAGATTAACAACCCGATCAAAATCAAATACCTCATCAGGCGTAGCATACTGTTCAGAATCATCAGTTGGCTTTGCCGCATCTGTCAACAGTCTCGAATTCGAAACTGCGGCTGTGCGCTTTGGACTTGGATTCAATTCAACGATATTCTGATTCAATTCTTTGGGCGTTAAATTCAACGACTTATGCACACGTTTCTGACACTTTTCCTGTGAAATTGTGTCACGATTATTGCAAACCGTATGATCACCATCTTTGAGTGGCGTTGAGAATATTTCCTCATTCGTTTCGTCGGTTTTCTTCTCTTTTTTGGCTGGACTCTCTTTTATTGATGGTTTTGTGAGAAGTCTCTTTGACGTTCCAATGAAAGTTTTTGTTCGCTTCAAAGCTGCCTTTCCGATACGTTTTCCAGTTTTGCCCAAAAACATATGTTGGGGCTTTTCTTTCTTCACTTTACAATGACAATTCTTGCAGAATGTGTCCGCTGGTTTCGATGTTTGATTGCTGACACGAACATCTGTGACTGGTGGTGCCTCAGTGCCCCGAAATTTGGCGTTATTGCCCGAGCTGCAAAAATCCTTGATTGGTGTGCTTAGATTGTTCTGTCGGCTTTCTGTTAAAACCGCTGAAAACCGTTCAAAATCTTTGGTTGATCGATTCGAACTATCGACGGTGTCGATGTCTTCTTTTGGCATACAAAAACCCATATTTTGCATTGAATTAGCTTGAGTGTCCTGTGTCGAACTGCTAAATTGATCGGCTGTAATGTAGTGAGATGTGGGTGGTTCGTTATTATCCCCGATGCTTCCAGGGCGAACCCATCCAAACTGAACCGATGTCTCTTCGCTGACATGTGGCGCATCATACTTTTGTGCATTATTATTGCATGGCATAACAAAACCCATCACTGTTGGATCTGGCCGATTTAATTCGGATATCGGAATGGTGGCGGATGACTCAAAACTTTGCTTCGAAAGTGGCGACGATGAGGAAGATGCGGTAAAACTACGTGGTGGTTTGATCGGTGCCAGTTCAGTCATTTTTTTCATTTCACGTTTGTGCATTTTCTCCTTCTCGGTAATTGCATAAGCCACATTCTGCAAAAGTGTTCGTCTCACACTTGTAATTGACTGTTGCTCAATGCGATGTGCTAACAGACGTCGGATTGATTTGCCCGTATACTTTGGACTGGCTTGCTGGAGTTTATCAAACACAAAATCATCACTGATAAATTTATTTCGAATATTCTGGGCATTTTTCTGACTTTTCGTTGGCTGGTTGTAGTAGTTTGGTTCACATTTTTCAGCCTCAAGCGACGATACAATATTATCGATGACATTTTTATCACAGCAAATTTGTGCCGATCGATTTAATGTTTCGTTGAAAATTTCCTCCGAGAATGTACTATCTATGATAATTTTCGGCTGAGTTCGTTTCTTCTGGCGGCGCTTGAATTCTTTGATTTTTTCTTTGTCTACTTCGATTTTCGACGTAACGATGCGATTTTCGCACAACTCCTGTTCAATGCATATCATCGGCACCAACGATTTTTTCACTGCGACCATTTTACTCTCTTTACGACTCTTATTGGAATGTGTGTGTTTAACTGCGTTAGTAGTTTGAATATCATTTAACTCACTTTGGTTACGCTTACTCGTTTCAATATCGACATTTTCTTCGGACAAATGATCGTCTTCTTCACTCGGCACCTGAATTTTTTCCGTTGAAAAATGCATATTTTCAGTGTCCGTAAAACTGGTGCAATTAAAATATTGACTCGTTTCCGATTGGTATTCAATGTCACTCTTTATTGAAAAAAAACTATTGTCATCGTCATCACTACTACTGCTGCTACTATTAGTTTCGGATTCGTTGATCGATTCAACATCAAAATCATTTTGATTGTCACCATCGAGCGTTTGTTTGGCATTTGCATCACTTTCACTACACAATGTCGCATAATCACTGACCGTTGTGTCGCTCTCTTCACTTGATTCGCACGTATTTGTCAAATAATTGTCGATGACTTGTGGAGGTTGTTGCTGTTGTTTAGTAGTTTTTTGATCGGGAACCGTTTTTGTTCTGATTGTTATGGTAATTTTGCGCGAATTGGTTTGGTATGTATTTGTTTCGGTTTCACTAGTGCGAGTCTGAACAGCATTATTGGTACATGCACAATTTAATCTGGATTTTGTTTCATTCTGTATCACATTTTCACAATTAGCATTTCGTTCGATTTGTCGATTCGGCTCAATTTGTCTATTTTCAGTGAGTGGAAATGATCTGCATTTTCTTTTTGCCGGAAATTTCGGTGATTTTTTCGACCAATCGTTCGTTTTACACAGACACTTTTTGTTTTTGCCGTGATGCGACGTTGATGTTGTTTCAATACTGTTCGCATTGCTTCTGCAGTGCATGTAGCTGCCGCTGCTGCTGCTGTCCGTCATGTCAAAATAACCGTTATTGAATGATATCTTTCTGTACATTTCGCATTCACGATTGCGCATGTTTTCAATGACCAAATTCGTTTCACTATTTACATCGCTCGAATCACTATAGTCCGTTATTGCGAAACGTTTGCATAAGCCTCGTTTTGAATTAATGTTGTGTTGATGGTCCTCGTTTGCTTTCTGATTACAACAACTGGACAATGGTGCTTTGTTTTCCAAACTATTGCGCGTGCTGCGTCGACTAAATTTGTGCGTTATTTGTTCATGTGATTTGCTCCATGCCGTCGCATTGCCTAGGCGACGATGATGTTGCTGTTGCTGTTGTGTGCTATTTGAACCGTTCGCTTTACAGATCGTGTCGCATCTGTTTTTTGTATCTAACACATTCAAATGTTCGTGCTGTTGTGAGGTCTGTTTTGAATTATCAAAACTTTTTCTTAATTGTCTGTTTTTCTCCGTCAAACGATTGCCGCTGTCAAAAGTATCGTTTGTTTTATGCACAAAATCAGTCGTTGCTTTCCTTCGTTGTTGTTGGTGTTGTTGTTCAACATGCATTTGATTCAACTGTCGATACCCTTTAGCTTTGCTGTCACTCTTATTGGCGTCGACGAGTAATTTGTTCGACGTTGCTACTACATCGCTGTCAGTAGTGATGACTGTTGATATGGCCGTATGATACTCATCCGAATCGTTTTCCACAGACGCTTTTTCGTCGTCACCGTTATTGCCTCTTGCGCTGGCTGGAAAATTCAGAATAGATACAGACAAAAATTAATTTTTGTTTATAAACATATACACACACATCGAAGATAATGTGATATTGTAAAGGAAGCAAGTCAAGTGTTTTCGATGCCTGCCCACTTAAATATTATGACTTCCATTAAAAGATACGATCTCTTTTTACGAGGAACTGAAATCCAGACAATCGGTTTCTATTTCGGATAAATGTATTCGAATAAAGATTCCTAACCATTTCAATTGAGAAAATTTAAAATGCGAGATGCAATCAGAAACACGAGATGATTTTAAGAAAATGAGAAGAAATACACTTAATTTCGCAACGCTCATTTGTAGCATTGGGATATATATGTCGATTCGTATTCATTTCAATAAAATAATTGAATAAATGCCATTGCGAGACATGTGACTACGCAAATAATGCCCACTTATTCAAAAAAAAATCCACACGAGCCATTTAAGACTGGATGCACGCGCTCGCGCCTCTGTATCTTTCTGTCTCTCGCTCACTATCTCGTGCGTCGTATTTACCTTGGTCATATTGCAGATTGTTGTTTAACAGAGATCGATGCAATGGATCCAAAATCGCAAGTATGGCTGGATTTGGATTTTTCACTTGATCGTCACCACAGCCGACCATTCTTCTCTCGCTTGGTTCGACAACCATATTTTACTTCTAGCGGGAAAACGGAAAATTATAAACCAGACGGAACGACAACGTTTTAACAACAATCGCTGCTAATGAATTAATCAGTGGGGACTCGACGAAGCTCAATATTGGCTCAAGAGATTTTATCACGGAACAAGTGTGGCGAACAAGTGTCAACAAACTGCTTTAATACTCAAACAAGCTCTCACGACCACATATTTAGTCGACAATGTAATCAATAGAGGGGAAAAATAGACGACCAAAATAGAGACGATAGCCGTATTTGGAATACAAAACAAATAAATGTCTGTTTAGTTTTGGAACGACCATGTGTTCACACAACGGATTGACAATCAGTTCAGCCATTTTTGGCATATTTTCGAATTTTCGTTCATTTCAACGAATACATTTTCTGAGTACTTTGAGTTCATTATCGAAATAGGCGTTTTTTCTGCTTTCAAAATTAAACTCTGTTGCTATTCTGTTCTTTGTTTCCTTTTTTTTCAAACAACAAGTAATAAAGCATATTTTTTTGTTGCAACACTTTGTGATCATCACCAACATGCATCACGTTCTTTTTGAAGCAAAAAAGAGTAACAAGTGTTTGAATACGTGAAAAAAATGCCCTTTTTCCAATTTTATTTTCATCGTCCGTTCTCGTTTTTCTTCTGTTCTTCTGCACTATATGCACATGTTTTTCTTTCCTTTTCAGACTTTCTGAACGAACAACAAATTGGATATGCATACTTGAACGTTGTAACAACCAAATACGGATCGGTCACTGCTTTCAGATTTCCACCACAACTGAAACACCATTTTCGATCGATGTGATTCGAAACAATTTTTTTTTCATTTTTCTCTTCCTCTTTCAAATTGCTTGTCGTATTTTATATTTTTCTGTCACTCAGATTTGTTTATCTAATCTGTCGATGAATGAGAGACAAATGCCAGAACGAAAATCTGTTGAGCAGGTAGCTGAAAATAACTTGAATGCGGACCACACTGTTTACATTTCGAATACAAATGAACCAAATAATGAAATATTATCACATGCAATTTTTATTCTGTATCAGTCTTTTCCTCCCCCTTTTTATTTCCATTCATTTATCTCAAGCATAAAAACGGAAAACTGATGAATGAAGAACGAACCCGAGTCTCAGAAGATTTATTTATTCGACACACATACGGATTACACAAGATTAGTTTTTTATTCAATTCAATTTTTGGATCGAATCATGCGACACTTGCACGTATCGTCGAAAGCGATAGCAGTAACAATAGTTAGACGCTGATACAAAATATGATTTATCTCTACTTATTGCATAGTATTGATATAGTTTGTACTGCGTTGACAGTTTTGTTTTCGTCAATATTCGCTTTTTTCACATTTTATTCGTTCTGGCTGGCCGTCTAGTAGTCAATGAATAAATTCAATCCTATTTAAGCAAATACACAAATTTGAACAGTGTTCGTTTTGAAAGCAAAGCCAGCAACGTTTCGAAATGGAACGTGGCATGAGATAATACATAAAGCAAAGGATTTATCTTCGATTGTTGTACTTTACTTTCGAAACGAATATGCACTTGAGAGGAACACACTGTAGAAGTGCTGACTAACCGAATGACTTCGACTCACTGTATGATGTGCATACACAGTTTTTTTACATTCCATGAAATTTTCGTTTCAAATTCCGTATTGAAACGCTATCACATTCGTTTAATCGCACCATATCGTCGCATTTCAGCAACGGTATCCCGTCATTTTCGCTCTCTTTTTTGCAAGACAGTGTTGTGTTCTAATTTGTACGCGTTGTTACATGAAAATGACCATAGTTGATATAAACTGCGTCGCAAAATGTAGAAAAAACATGTGTGTCGTCCCCGATGAATAAAAAATGCTCATTGGTTTTTGAAAAGAAAAAAATGAAGAGAGACAGCGAAAAATATTCCATAAACAAAATACTTTATTTATGTCGAAGTCCGTGAAATTGTTTTTTGTTTTGAATCATGCGTATTTGTGATGGCAATCGGAAATCGAATCGATTACAAATATCCATCGGACACACAGCGCAGAAGAAAAAATTTGTTTCGAAATGGGAAATAAATATGCATAAATTTCCATTTCCATTCGTACGCATACGATAAAAACGATACAGAAAACCATTAAACAATAGACATCAAAACGAAGCTATTTTATGGGTTTATTTCGAAAACGGAGACCGCATTTAAATTGTACATTGAGTCCGATGCATAAATGCACGGAATTTGCATTTAAATACATGGAAAATTGTGCTGAGAATAGCATTTCATTTAAATTCACAGTTTTATTTTACCAACACGGATTTCTGGAGCTCGACGTTTTTTTCATTCGGTTTTTGTTGTTGGCGCAAAAAAACGGTGTTAATTTCCAGACATAGTTAAATCTTGTTGCCTCATCCGAAAAATAACCGTTGACGTAAAACTACACCAAAATGCCTTTGTATTGAGGTCAATTAAATAGCCCGTATACTGAAAATACGAATGCGGATATTACGCGTCATACTGGATCAAACAGACGAAAAAAGTACACAAGCACACATACACACCATATCGTACGCAGCACAATCACAGGCCATCGAAATTGGAATCAATGAAACTCAATTTTAACTAATTCTCTTCTGTTGTGCGGCTGATCTCACATTCATTTGACTAACACTCTGGTCCCAATATTCTGACAAATCTATTTTTTCATCACACAGTTATGACTTTCAATCAAACTAATAAAAATATGAAATATTATACGCACTTATGAGAAGGGAAACGTTTGATTGCTACCGTTTTTGTATTACAACTAACTCAGATCGATCGTATGCAATGTTTGGATATGTTTTGATGGTAAAGTATTTTTTTACATAACGTTTCATCAAATACTGGTCCATATATCTCTCTATATGTTGATTGTATCACATTTGATCTTCTCAATTGCAACACAAATCACTGGTTCTAAACCGATTTGCAATTGAAATTAATTGTATAATAACGACTTTCACGGTTACAACTTGGTTAGAAGAATTGTATTGAAAATCGTGTTGGTGCGCGCAAACAAATAAAATGTTTCAGTTAATGTTGCTGTTCAAGCGTAATATCGTCACCACTTTGCTTCTGAAATGACAATGAGCACGTCGTCATGTTCTGGGCATTAGAGCTTCTGGTTTCTATTCATAGACCAATTAATGTGAAATGAAGGGAAAAAAACGTTAACATTTTTTCGCTATTCACTTGTTTCAACGTGTTTTCTTTCTTCATATCCATCATATTCTCTCTTCTCCTCAATTTTTTTTTCAATTGGATTTTGCATAAACTTAAAACAAGAAAGTGGCGAACACATGCAAAACAAAATACTGTGGATGTATCGCGCTAAATCATTGAACTCTTGTGATGGCTGTGCGTGCGCGCGCGAGTGCGAGGATATCAATGGCATCAGTTAATGATGACGATTATTCACGAAAAAGTGCCACATAACATAATGGCCGAGCGAGAATATTTAAAAAGAAGAACGTGCAAAATCAAGTTTACCGATTTGTTGTTTAAAGCCTTTTTCGTTTTTCTTTTGGCCTCTTGATTTTTATTTCGATGTGCTTGGGTTTTTTTTCTTCTTTTGCGCCTAACTGTGTTCGCTCATTCGTCTTTCGCTCAATGTTTCGGCTTGACAAAAATCGCATAAAAACACTAATCAAGTTTGTTTATATTGTTCATTATGTGACCGGTCGAAACGAGTGGACGAAGACCAAATAAAATGGAATGATGTGTAGTTTGTGACCGTGCCCGACCAGACGAAATACATTGAGTGAGAGTGTGTACGTGAGCGGCGAATATATCGAATGCCAAATCTACCTCATGCTTCATTGTGAAGCATGTGTGGCTCGTGCTGGTTTTTTTTTCTTCCATCATCCGCGTTTTCTCTTTTCGTTCTGTTTCTCATTCTTTCACTTTGGTCCGCACGGCCACAGATTCGTGTGCCGTCGCGAATAACTCGGCATTTTATATACAACAATGTGCATGCGCGTATCAAAAAGGAACATTTTATATATAAGGCAATCGCGCATGCACGTTCGATGCATATGCACAAGTATGCAGACAACCCATTTTTTATGATTTCCAGTTAAGTCGCGTATTTCTCGCGTATTTTGCCTTCACAGCACCACACATTTAAATGACAGGATTTTGTGGCCTGTTTATTGTTGTTGTCGTCATTGCCGTGGTGGCACAGTGCACAACGGAGTATATAGAGGAGTCGAGCCACAATTAAATGGAAAGTACTACACACACAGGCAACAACGCTCGTTCTATAGCGCATCTACACTAACCAAAAATAAAACGATCGTATTCCAAGGCACGCAAGCAAAAACTTTGCTCACTTTTTATGTTTTGTTCGCCGAAAAAATGTGGCCGCAATTCGAACATGCGCCACAAATTAATTAACCACAAACATTTTTCCCAAAATGATAACGCGTGCAACAATTATTTTGTCCGCTTTTAATACACTCATCCATTCAATCAACCGTCATCAACTAACACTTCATTAACAAATCTCAAACATTTATCGACGCATTGAGATAGCAACGGCTGCTTACCATTCATTGTTGACCACATCAAAAAAAAAAATAGTTAAAATAAAACTTAAAATTGCATTTTTGGTCAGACGAAACAAACAGAACAAAACTAATTCACTAAATTAATTGAAACAAGAACGAATTGCACGGTCACACAGAAAAACAGACACAACGATATTGAAATAAGTGTATTTGATCCTCGGCCGATGCGAACACAAAAAGTACGAACAACGCATAAACAATAGCCCGTCTGCATGCAATGCCCTACTGCGTGAGGTCGTACTGCATTGGCGAATTGCGCTCAAAATAACAAACCAACGAGTAAATTCAAATCGCATTCAAAATTTGACGTTTAACGTTCGTTTATCGGCTTCATGTGTGTTGTTGACGCACACACACACACGATGACAGTTCGGCGAAACTCATATAAATGCTTTCAAAGAAACAGAGACGTAGTAGCACAACGAACTGTTGAATCGATTTGCAGATGTATCGAATGTTTCCTTGCTTTTGAGCATTGAGTTTTTGATTTCAGTGGATGTTTTTCTCTCTCTTAAATTTTCATTCATCTCAAATGGATTTTTTAAAATATACTTTCATTTTGTCATTGGAAAGGCAATGCAAACTGCAATAGACGGAAGTACTAGATTGTATAAGCGAATGCAGAAAATGAACTTTTCATTGCATTCAAATAAAAGAACGATGAGCGATAAATATTGGTTTAAATATTGAAATCAAAATGATAGATTTCTTTTTTATGCAGAAATTGATTAATTAGTAAATCAAATGTGTTCATTTCGATTGTTCAATGATTTTCATATTTACACAGACATAAACACTGACAATGTATTTCATGTTATTTCGATGGCACATAATTCAGTAATTCATTGTAATCACTTTCGTTGAGCAAATAATTACTCAGATAAAGATGCAAAATTATTTCGGCGTCAACAGAAATCGAAATGTGTTACTTGCATGTCTAAGTAATTATTTGCTCAACGAAAGCGATTAAGATAAATTGTTGCAACATTTACTATTAAAATGATGGGATGGAATGAATTTTTTCAACCAATTATTTTTCATATTCTCTAGTGTTTATGTCCAAGCGATAAACAAACTAAAATGCTCTTCAAAAATCGAAATCATCAAATAACCGAATAATACAATGGTGTCTATTTATCTCAGGACACGCGTTGAAAACAACGCGAACCAATATCATTTTAACGATTATGTGGTCATTTGTGTTTACATCACGGCAGGAAGAAAATGCAATTCTCATTTCAATTTCAATTGATATGTTTTGTTTATATAAAATGCTACGAATTGCTTTGCTAAGCGTTGCGGTTCTTTCAAATGTTTATGTCTACCCATGCCATGAACAATTTTGGCCTTCGTCATTATTCTTTCGATAAATTGTCGCCGAGGAGAAAAGAACTTTTTAGTTTTGATTTTAGTTATAGTTCAGATCTGAAGTCGAGAACACCGTGTAAATTCAATTCGAAATAGAAAAACGGTTAAAATATAGAGTCTAAAATACATATATTTTCTACGTGTAACGTGAAGTAAAATTTTCACCAAGAAATAGCCAAAACGATGTCAACGGAAAATGGAATTTCATTTCGTGCACAAATTATGAAAAGTCTGTGTTTAAACAGTGATAAGGCTGATATTTTCTTTGTGATTCACGAAAATGGGCAGCAAGAACGCATTTCAGCACACAAATGTATTTTGGCCTGTGGCAGCCCAGTATTCAACACAGTCTTCTATGGCGATCAACCGAAGCAAGAGACAGAAATACCCATTACTGATTCGTCTGCAGCTGCATTCAAACTCTTCATGCAATTCTTTTATTTGGACACCGTGTGTTTGTCGTATGACAATGCAATTGAGGTGCTACAATTAGCTCAAAAGTTTCAAGTTATCGAATGTTTTGAAACTTACGCTCGCTTTATGCAACGCCATTTGAAGATCGACAATGTTTGTAGTGCATTCGCTGTGGCCAATACGTTCAGCCAGCAGATGACGAATTTCCTTCAGGTGTGTCGTGAATATATCGCCAATAACCTCCAAGCAGTGCTTGAAACAGACAACTTTCGATGCTGCCCAACGGAAATTCTAAAGGAAATCTTGGAAATTGCTCGCGAGAAAAATTACAATCGCATCAAAATTTTCAGCGCAGCTATGAATTGGTCGAGTCACGCATGTGAAAAGAAAAACATCAACAAAGAATTGTCGAAAAATTTGCGACATCAGTTGGGTGATGTTTTCAACCTTATAGCATTTGATCAAATGACTTTGGATGAGTTTGCGCAATGTTTGACAAAACGCAGCAATCTCTTTGAATCGGTTGAACTGGAAAAAGTAATCATAGCAATAGCTAAGGCATCAAACAAGAAACGACGATCTTCCAACGCTGACCGAAACGATGAAAATCCACAAAAAAAAAATGTACGGAAATAAATCCGAGAAATGACATATATTATTGCTTTAAGCAATACCGATTTTTCCATTTTCATGATTTAAACAATTTTATAACAAACTGATTGAAAAAGCCAGACATCATGTGTCTTAAGTAAACAGTTGAAAAAAAAAGTGCTCAAAAATAGAAAAATTTCATGAAATGATAAATGTTATTTGTATCATATTGTGAATAGAAGCAATTGATTTTTGAAAACCGTTTTCAGTTAATTTACAGAAGTAACTCGATCTATTGAAAAAGTATTTTATAGCATTTAGATAATCTACTGTACTATCATTGTCCATTTATCAAGCATTTCATTAAAAAGATCTTTTTTTCCTATATTTTGCAAGCAATGAGTACTTCTTTATTACGCTGCAGCGTAATCATGATAAAATGAAACACAAGGTTTGATTTGCGGACGATTTTGGGAAAATGGCACAATCGATATGGATTTTGCCTATTGTTTTGCTTTACTTCTTTGAATTTTAGTTCCGATTGAATTGTAGCACCATTGGTAATATTCACGTAACGTAACACTAATAGCAGCTTTCTTTTGATTTTGCAAACTGTCAACACCGCGTATTTTGTTGACTAGATAAGTGTATTATAATGTGCAATTCAATTGTTTGGGAAAATGTAAGTATTCGAGACTGTTCACATGAATTTGTCCTACAACTAGTTTTCCATATTGGGTTTGTATATATTTGTTTTATTTTTATGTTCTGGAAAAATAGTAAAAATGAAAATGCACCAGCAAAGCACTTCCAAAGTCAAACTATACGAAGCAATCACGGATTCACTATACTGACGTGATGAAGCAGCTGATGTGAATTTCATTTTCAAGGAAGGATTTGAATGCGCTCCGGCAAAATGATTTTGGCTTCGGGTAGCAAAGTTTTTATGGCAATGTTTTACGACGATCCGAAAGAAAATGAAGACATTTTCATCGCTGATTTATCAAGTGGAGCGTTTAAAGGAGTTTTACAAATTTTCTATTTGAATACGGAGTTGGACGTACGATAACATTAAAAGAATGCATGAAAATCGGCGCCAAGTTTTTAGAGCTTAATTAGACCGTCGAAGATTCCTGCTTTACAATCGGGCTGGTCATATGATTTGGTTTGACAACCTTGATCATTTCTTGTAAAAAACGTATCGAAAGAAATATTCTCGCTGTTGAAACTCTAAGTGAACTGCTATTCGATGCGAAGAAGAAGACATGGATAAAGAAAATGCACAAATGTTTCGTTCTCATACATGAATTTTATGATTGCGTAACAAAACAAGCGAATCTATTTGACGCCGTCATAGATTCTGACACCAAAAATTTCAGATAGGGTCAGACCAAAAATTCATGATGAGGTCAAACAAATTATTAATTCTATCTACGAGAATTCCACACGAAACCGAACAAGAATAGGATTTCACCTCTCCGATTTTGCTCAAACTTGGTATATAAACTTGTTATGGCCAAAAACTCGCAAAGCCAAAAAATTGGGGTGACCTTCTCCACCTGATTAAAAATTAGGGTGACTCGTATTTTGCGAAAAATTGACTAAAGCACTTTTTTCACATTTTTCCAAGGGGCGAATTACTACTGAAAACCGGTTTTCAGTACTTTTCAGTATCAAGAAAAAATTCAGTTGTTTTCAGTACTTTCTGTCAATTCAGTAGTGATTCGCCCCTTGCATTTTTCACTATGAAAAGTGTGGTACAAACTTTCAAAACTATATGCATGGATAAATAGATAATCGATGGAGCTACAAAAAAATCTTTACGACCACCCCATCCGGGCCCATTCAGGCCCTGAAATATGGGTTCAAAGTATAAAAGGTGGAAAATCCCATTTTTACGGGGGTCAAGTGGCCGTTTTTTAAAAAGAGGCTTAAACGTTAGCCCACCTCGAATTCTTCAATTTAACGAACAGAAATCACGTGTGCTACCCAGTCCCTGATTCAGGAGAAAATTATGTGTGTTGTAATTTTTTCATGGTTTTTCGACTATATAGATTTTTTTCACACCGAATATGTGGTCTGACGATGGTGATGTGTTCTGATAAAATGCTCAACAGACTCCAACAAATCAAATAATAGCATTGGTTGGGGCCACCCCCCCTTCGGAAGAGCAGAGTAGGCTCAAAAAGTGGAAAAATCACAAAAAATCACTACTTAGGGGTAAAAACAGGGCAGAAACCCGCTTTTAGCCCCAAACCACTATGATATTCGGAAAGCTCGTAAAAAATCCTATTCACGTGTACAACATTTTAACTTCATGAAATCCTCTCTTCTGCCCCAAATCGAGGTCGGCAGTTTGAAAAAACGTGCTCCTGCAAGTATGCAACCATTTTCAACTGCTTCTTAGGCACCAACGCAGGAGTAGTGTGCTCTCAAAATGTAGCGTCTGGTCTCTAGTTTCTTTTGGCATATAACTTATATATATCTTATATGGCTCAAATTTGGCACTAGAGAGGTTAATATTGAAGAAAAAGTGTGAAAAAATCGCACAATCTCAGCACAACTGCCCAAAAGGAGGCATTGGACCTTATTTTCGGACAAAAATGATAGCAATTTCGAATTTCTCCTAGAAATTTAGCCAAAGAATGATCATACTAAAATTTGTTTTAAACTTTACCATCAATTCAAATATAGCTCGGATGCTCAAGTGTTGATATATAACAAAATCAACTACCAGTATGTGATTGAACTTCTTAATCGGCAACATCAATCGGAGTACCATTCGAAGTCTCGATTCAATTTTGGACAGGTCAGTTGTGCTGAGATTGTGCGATTTTTTCACCCTTTTTCTTCAATATTAACCTCCTTAATGCTAAATTTGAGCCATATAAGATATATAAGTTATATGCCAAAAGAAACTAGAGACCGTGCGCTTCATTTTGGAAGCCACTACACCTGCGTTGGTAAATTGTAATTCACGCGCTTTGAAATATTTGCCGACCACTTATTGCATCGTTTTGCATGTTTCAGCAAACGAACGCAAATCTTTTAGCAGCAAATAGTTGAATATTGTGTGAAAACAATCGACATTTAATTTGAAAATATTCGGCGCTGCTTCTTTGTTGCAATAATTTGAAGTGCCAGCATCACTGCTATCTCGTTCATGTTCATTGTTTTCAAGAGTTTCTGATGAAATTTCATTATTATCCATTTTTTCATAATTTTGTAACAAGAATTTACTTAACGTTTGAAATCATCACGAAGACATTTGTCATCGAAGCAAGTGAAAAATTAAAATTAAATATATTTACAGTTTTATTAATTTAAAAAATATATTCGGTCTATTTTTATTTTGTAATATTGTTAAAATAATTTTTTTTACGTATTATTTCGTTGAAATTTGATGATTTATTTTGGTTCTAGCGATGGAAGCTTCATATTGTATTTCAAACTACAATCATTCTGAAATGACGTGGCTCGAAATTGAAACTTCATTAATTTGCTTGTGATGCACATTACACACAACATTATCAATGTTACATTAATTTCTGTGTATTAATAACGTACGATTTGTCAAAAGGATGTGGTTTGTTTGACAGTACCAAGTATCAGCTGCTTATTGTGGTATGATAATTTAATAAATGATTTTCAATTTATATGTTTTTTGGATTAATCATTTCATACTGGTATTCAATACTTAGGTAAATGTCACTGCCCCCCCCCCCGGTCGGAAAAATGAAAAACCAATTCCAGATTCGGACTCTGGGGAGTTTGTACTCACCGTATGCAAATTTCTAGAGTTTGTACTCTCACTGGGCCCGAGTACAAACTCGGCAAAGTTGAAAATTTTGAAAAAACGGCCATTTTGTATGGCGACTTTATCTCAGAGGCCGAATGTTGATGTTCTGAGGTCATTTTCATATGATTTTGGGTTAGTAATGACCGTGTGCAAAGCCGCAAAGTTTGTACTCTCACCAGGCCCGAGTACAAACTCCTCAAAGTTTAAAATTTTGTCAAATTTCGGAAATAAAAAAACAACGAAAAAATTTAATGTCAGAGGCCGAATGTTATTGTTCTCGGGACATTTTCATATGATTTGGAGTTTGTACTGGCCGTGTGCAAAGCCGCAGAGTTTGTACTCTCACCCAGTCCGAGTACAAACTCGTCAAAGTTTAAAATTTGTCAAAAGCGGTACTATTGTATTCTGTATGGGAAGTACTCAAAATAACCACTTTTCAGGAGTTTGGTCAAGGCAAACTGCTATTATTTTTCAAAAAAAATTATAGTCATTGAAAAAACTGAATACCTGATTCCCCATAAATTTTGTTTAAAAGCGACAATTCTTCATAAAACAACCAAATGGCTGATGAAAACTCACTTATGATGGACTGATGTGATTCTATTTCCACATAATTTTTGACGAGGAATCAATTTAGCTTTCACTCGATATATCATACAGATAAAACCATTTTGTACACAAATAGGCATATTTCCTGTGTTTTTATGAGAAAAATAAATTATTGTACAACGTCCACATACGTGGACGAAATGAAATCTTCGATCAAGCATGATGCATCGAGATTTTAGCCATACATTGTAATATTCGGTAAGTGCCACTGAAAAAATATTCCTACTTATTTAGTGCGTGAGACGAATGGTGACTCATTTAGTGAGACGCACGCGGATGGGAAGCGGGCAACACTCCATACGAACGAACGATATAGCGCGCATACATTTCGTCACTCCGTCGATAGAATACGGACACAAACACAAACACAAACACGTAGTACCCATTGACTCTATGTTCTAATTGCGCGTATCCCTTTCGCTTTGCTTCATCTCATCCGCATGCGTCTCACTCACTAAATGAGTGACCATGCGTCTCACGCACTAAATAAGTTTAAATATTTTTTCAGTGGCACTCATCGAATATTACAATGTATGATTTTAGCAATATGTCAATTCAAAGAAAAGCACGGACAACAAACCAAAAGTCATGAAACTTGGTGATGTGCGCACGACAAACCAAACGGAACAACCTGTTTGCTAATTTCTTCAGTAGCAACTATGATGACTCAACGACTCAAGACGCTCAGCGATCGTCTACCGATGAGTCACAGCAATCTGAGGATTTCCAGCTCGACATCAATTTTGTGCTTGAAGAGCTACAAGCTGTGAACACCAGGAAAAGAACGGGTCCCGATGGTATGCCTTGACCAAACTCCTGAAAAGTGGTTATTTTGAGTACTTCCCATACAGAATACAATAGTACCGCTTTTGACAAATTTTAAACTTTGACGAGTTTGTCCTCGGGCCTGGTGCGAGTACAAACTCTGGAACTTTGCACACGGCCAGTACAAACTCCAAATCATATGAAAATGTCCCGAGAACATCAACATTCGGCCTCTGAGATGAAGTCGCCATACAAATTGGTAAAATTTGACAAAATGTCAACTTTGACGAGTTTGTACTCGGACTGGGTGAGAGTATAAACTCTGCGGCTTTGCACACGGCTAGTACAAACTCCGAATAACATGAAAATGACCTCAGAACATCAGAATCTAGCCTCTGACATTAAATTTTTTCGATTTTTATTTCCGAAATTTGAGAAAATTTTAAACTTTGAGAAGTTTGTACTCGAGCCTGGTGAGAGTACAAACTCTGCGGCTTTGCACACGGTCAATACAAACTCCAAATCATATGAAAATGTCCCGAGAACATCAACATTCGGCCTCTGAGATGAAGTCGCCATACAAAATGGCCGTTTTTTCAAAATTTTCAACTTTGCCGAGTTTGTACTCGGGCCCAGTGAGAGTACAAACTCTGGAAATTTGTATACGGTGAGTACAAACTCCCCCAAGTCCGAATCTGGAATTGGTTTTTCATTTTTCCGACCGGGGGGGGG